CTGATCTCGAATATATTTACGCAGACGACTTTTTCACCACTTCAAAAGAAAATAAGGAGTTGTCACGCGCTTCCATCTGTAACATTATTTCCAATTATCTCTTACACCCACCGCTCTCCTCTTCTTCTTTTTCTCCTGAATTTTTCAAAGACCTCTCTTTTACCCGATCCTTCTTAAAATCCCACGATAATATAATCATAACCAAAGCTGATAAAGGCAACAAAACTGTAATTATGGACCGTACAGAATACACTGACAAAATGACTTTACTCCTATCAGACCGTTCCACTTACTCTCCCACATCCCGTGATCCTACTTCATCATTAAAAACCAAATTTAACCTACACCTAAAAAATCTTCTAAATTCAAAACTCATAAACTATCCTACTTACAGAAACCTTATCTCCTACAATTCAGTTGCTCCCCGTTTTTATGGACTTCCTAAAATCCACAAACCCGGCACCCCACTCCGTCCGATCACTTCCAACATTAATTCTCCTTCTGTTAAACTTAGCAAATTCTTACTACCTTCCCTACAAATCTTCAGCCACAACAACCCTTATGATATACAAAACTCATTCCATCTCCGTGAACAGCTACTCTCCTTTACCATTCCAGACAATTTTATTCTCTGCTCCTTCGATGTTGAAAGTTTATTTACGAACATACCCATAGACAAGGCACTTACTATAATAGACGACAATTGGACCATCATTGAACCTCACACCTCACTTAACCGCTCCTCATATCTCGAATCCCTTCATCTATGCTGTAAATCAGGCTACCTCACTTTCCAAGGACAATTTTTTAACCAAATCTCTGGACTAGCGATGGGTAACCCCCTCGCTCCCGACATCTCGAACATCGTTCTCAATGATCTTCTAGACACCATTATCCCTCTTTATCCTGACGACATCATCTTTATTCGGAAATACGTAGACGACCTCCTCCTAATCATCAATCCAAACAAAATTCCTGATATTCTATCACATTTTAACTCTTACCACCCCCGCCTCAATTTTACAGTACAACGCGAACTCAATAATTCTCTCCCTTTTCTCGACCTTCTAATCATTAAAAATCCCAATAACACCATATCCACAGACTGGTACACCAAACCAACTTACACTGGCAGACTCCTAAATTTCCATTCCAAACATCCCTACCACCAAAAAATTAACGTTGCGAAAAACCTCATCCACCGTAGTCTCTCCCTCTCTGATCCCCAATTTCATGTTACCAATACCAAACGCATAAAACAGATCCTGTCAAACAATAATTTTCCTCTCCATGTCATTAACAAACTTATAACGGACCACAATAATCGCTCTTCCTTAATCTCAACTTTCTCTAATTCTCCACAACCCATTTCAGCCCCTATATACAGATCTCTACCTTATATTCCTAACCTTTCAGACAACATCAACAAAGTTTTACGATCCACTAACCCTAACTTACGACTTGCATTCAAATCTCACAACACTCTCTCGAAATTATACACATCCCTAAAAGATCCTCTTCCTCTCTCACACCGCTCTCATATCGTTTACCGTATTCCATGTTCTACCCCCAATTGTTTTTCATCCTATATTGGTGAAACCAAAAATCTCCTAAAAGACCGCATAACCCAACATAAATATTCTGTATCCTCTCGTAATTTCACCGCTTCCAAATTATCCGAACATTCTCTCTCCCTCAATCATTCATTTGACTTCGACAAAACATCCATCCTTGCCACTGTTCTCAACCATGACAAACGACTCATTTCTGAAACCCTCCACATCCAGCTTCAACCAAAGACAGTGAATCTTAAGACTGACAAAAACAACTTTTCTCTAACCTATAGCCAAATTCTGAATTTATTAAAACATCCATAGTTATATTCCTTTCCTTTTTGCTGACAACTCCCGTATATATATATACATATATATATATATATATATATATATATATATATATGTGTATATATATATATATACACATATATATATATATATATATTCACTTTCACTTTCTATTAACTTTCGTTCAATATTCCATAATTTTTCTACATAATATATCTCTCGTAACTATCTAGGCTTCTAGCATTCTTCTAGTTCTAGCTTCGTCCGATAACCGTTACAGATGACGCCACCTCCACATCCCTACTCTCTCCACCTTCTTTGTAACGACTTCATTCTCACTTTGACATTTTAAGAGAAAGGTACTACTTCTTTTATTTTTTTCTTTCTTATTTCAGCTTTCTCAATTTCTTCCCTCCTTCCTTTCATTCCTTTTCTCTGTTGTTAACTCTCTATTATATTATACATTGTCTGTACATCTTGATAGACTTTACAACATCTCAATTTTCTATCAAACTACTGCATTCTCAATGTTTTCATTTTACTATTTATTTTATTCTCATTTCTTATATAACTTTATATTTCTTTTTTATGTTTTTACATTTTATTCTAAGATTCCCAATGTAACACTTTTGTCACCCCCTTTTTGATTATACCTACTTCATCATTCCACACTATGTAACAGTCTGTATCATTTATCTCTTAGTTCTTAGTCATTATTCTAACAATTTTATTTTACTTTATATCTATCTATTTTATTTTTATTTTATCTAGATCTATTTTATCTAGATCTAATCTATTTTATTTTCTCATCTTTTTTTTGTTATTATCTTTTTTACCATCATTACTTAAGTTTCTCATACCTTGTTATCTGGTTATTTTCTTAGCCCTGATGATGTCCTGAACTTCAGGTCGAAACGTCGGCAGATGTAAAAAATAAATATTATAATTTATTTTTGCCTTCCTTTTTGACTGAGCACCCAACTATTCTTCTCTTCATTATCCACGACAGTCAACCAATTACCAATTATAAAAAATATTTAATTTAAGTAATTAAACAATGCTCCATAGTAAAGTACTAGATAAAATTTTCTTTAACCAAAGTAGAGTTTGTCATCGTTAAAACTATTTAAAGAGGACTATTGAGCGGACAAATACAGCTAAGTTCGGTTTAAAGAAAAATCATAAATTATTTGTGATGTTTTTTTTATCATTTTTCAACAGACTACATTTACTCCAGTTTTAGAAAAACTTCCACATTTAATAAGCTTTAAGTACATATTAATTAAGTTGAGGTTTATTAGGAAAAAAATTGAGATTAACCTCAAGATATGTAAAGATATGATGTGATTTTCTATCCTGTCACCTAAAAGCAAACGTGTTTTCACCAAAAATGACAAGCCAAAATGAACAGCAAAAAGCTTTAATTTCTTGTTTTTCCATGATACGAGACGTAATGTAATAAACATAATTGTCTAAAAAAACATTTTATGTATAAAATTAAAAATAATGATTTTCAAATATTTTTCATGTAAGGTCGTTATGAAATTGTGTTTTTCTTCCAGATTTCTGTCATAGATATTTATGCATATGTATAAGTGACAAACTAAATGTTTCTAGCCCTAATATTTAGGTTTTAATGAAAATAATTGAAGCAATCAGTAAGTTTCTTTATCTTAAACATAAATTTTAGAAAGAAACGTTAAGTTTGTCATTGATAAATACTTATCGATTCCTATGATGGAGATCTCGGAGAAAAATACGATTTTATAACCTCTTTACATGAAAAATATTTGTAAAATCAATATTTTTCAATTTTAATTTTTTTATATTAATAAAATGTGGTGGTAAGAATGGCCCCAGAAAGACTTAACAAGGAAATATTCCAAAAAATCCATAGATACAAAAGCTTGGGAGGATACATCAGGCAGATGAAGGAAGAAACGGAAAGACTTGGAATAATGGACCAGGACTGTCTGGACAGAGAGGGGTATGGTAAGAGACTAAAGGAGATCACGGTTCTTGTTAAGAAGAAAAGTTCGAGAAAGGGAGTCATGTGGACGGAGAAGAGAAAGCGGCGGTACGCGGAGATAATGAGAGAGAAGTGGAAAGAAAGGAAAAACAAGAAAGAAGCCAAATGTCATGATATTCGCGTGATCTCTATGGCAGTTCCGTGAAGAAAAAAAAATGTGTTATAGGCAATTATTGTAATTACAATAGATCTCATGTTACGGAAAAGCTTTGTAACAGTTAATTGAAGTCATTTTTTGCTGAAAATAAGGGTACTTTCAGCTGACTGGATATAAAATCACACCATTTATTTACAAAACTTGAGGTGAATCTCAAAATTTTTACAAATACACCTCAACTTAATTAATATGGACTTAAAGCTTACTAAATGTGGAAGTATTTCTGAAAGTAGGGTAACTGTAGTACAATTAGAGAGTGATAAAAAAAATTTGCATACATAACTTAGCTGAGTTTGTCCACTCAATAGTCCTCCTTAAATAGTTTTAACAATGACAACCTCTACCTTTCTTTGAGGTAAATTTTGTCTAGTTTACTATGGAGTAATGTTTAATTCCTTAAACTAAATATTTTTTAAGTTATCACTTTCTATTTAACAAAAAACGTGACTCGCTTAAAAAACACAAATCTTAAATTTCATACCTTTCTGCTGGAAATTGGGCAATTGTTTATATGAACATTTTTGTTGATCTCGATGTCTACTATTAACCTTTTAAATATTTCTCTCTACTTACGGGACACCCTGTATATATATGTTGTAAAATAAAAGTGTTTCGTAAATTAAAGGTGGTTATTACATTTCGTTTTGTCTATTTCAATTTCCATAAATATGAATACCAAGATAGGTATTATCAGTATCAGAATTATCAGTGTTCAGGTTATAAACAGTATCAGAATTATCAGTGTTCAAGTTATAAACATTGGCGGATAACAGTCCGTGGCGACCGACTAAGTCACAAGTAACAAAAATTATTACAAATTACAAAAAAAATTACAATGCATCTCTAATTAAATTTATTTATTTTTCAAATAAATGTATTTGTTTGGTACAGCTCTGGTATTATATATAAAGATAGATCAAAAGTTTACATTATAACAAAATAATGCTAAGCTTAAAAAATTGTAACTTACATTTAAAGATGGTCTATTTATAAAAGTAACATAATGATAAAAAATATTGAGGTAGTCATTAATATCATTATCGCAACAAGATTTTAGACAGAACTCCCAGTCTTGCCAAGTTGTATGATCAGCATAGTATGACACTAAATTCTTTACAAACTGTGTGGTATTTTTCACCTGAAAAATTATAATAAGAAAATATAGCAACCAATAAGTTGTATATTAATGTGAATTTTTAAAAAAATAATCTAAATAAATAATTTATATTATAAATTATTACTGCTATTAGGTACATAGGATAATTATGAGTTATAATAATAGTAAATTCTTTATTTATTACAGGCTGTTTTCCTTTAGTATAACATTGAAAGGGAACTTAATAGCACTAAAGCCCTTGGTGGACTTTAGCCTCACTAATTGATAGTCATTCCTGCTTATCTCACGCCTTCCTTCTCCATCCTCTTACTACCATCTATCTCAAATCATCCTCTATGCCATCCAACCACCACAGACTTAGTCTTTTCATCAGTCTCTTTCCACCTGGTTTGCCTGTCATAATCATTTTTGGTAGACTTTCATCTGGACATCCTTTGAACGCGACCCAAGCCATTGACCTTGGTGGAAGAGGGGAAGTTCACTGTCCACAGCCAGAAGACTGAATTTGAAATACAAAATTTAACTAACAAATATTTACGTCAAATGTAAACAAAAAGTGTAAATGAAGTGTAAACGAAATGTGAATTAAAGGTGTTTCTTCCAATTTGAAGCACCAAAACCAAGCAAATCTGCCAATTAATCTCCTTCAATGTCATATTCATTGTCCTGTACTTACTTAAATTGAATGAAAATATTTATTTGTTAAACAACCCAAGGTAAAACCTTGTCGAGAAGTCCTAATATAATATTATATTATTATATATAATATAGTATTATTCAATGGAAATAATGGTATCTATAAAAAGTGGTTAAGTATTAAATAATAGAAGTAATGATACTTTTAATAACAATAGGAGCGAAAGTATACCTGAAGAGATGATTGGTTTGAGTAATCAGTAAAAAAAAAAGTATAATTAAATAAGTATATATATCTTTATTTTTGCCGACGTGTCGGCTTTCATCAGGGCTAGGAAAAAACAGATAACAGTAATTATGAGAAACTATTAACATTAAAAAGAACAAATAATATGTGGGTGAAAGGTATAGTAAAAAAAATGTAGATAAAATAAACTTAAAGGAAATATAAAATAACGATAAAAAAATTAGGAGGTAGAAAGTAGCAGAAGCAAAGTTAGGATATATAACATATCGGTAATAAAGCTAGGAAATTATGAATAAAGTAATAATGGGATGAATAATAATGAGAACTATGAAATAAATAAAACAGTAACAAATTAGGAACTAATGAAATAAACATAATGAAATAAAGTAACATAGGAAATGAAAAATGAATTAACAATGGAATTTATGAGATGAAAATGTCTACACTTACGTTTTTCATATCATACATTCCATTAAATTTTGTTGTTTATTCGTTTTTCATTTTTTGAATGAATGAAAAAATAATTTTATTCTGGGACTAAAGTCCCCTAAGAATAATAATAACATGGCACAAAACATTGGTCCTTTAGTCTGGTTTGACAGAATACTAAGAGGTCATTTGAATGTTAATTTTAATTGTTATCGCAATCATATCTGAATAACAATAGTAAACACTTTAACACTAGTACACTTTATATGATTTACATGTATACAAAGAAAAAGTAAATAAATAAATGAAATAAAATTAAAGGAAACTTGTCAATTAATTGTTAGTGAGAAGTTGTAATTACAGAAATCAATAAGTATTACATAGATAGGGAAGTTTGAAAATGAATTAGGTGGTGGAATAAGAGTTGTTTGAAGGAATTTAAGGTTGAGGATTACCGTATAGGGATGGATAAAGAATTCCAGAAGGAGGTAGCAAGAATGACAAAGGATATAGTTTTATGAGAAGGGATATATATATATATATATATATATATATATATATATATGTATATATATATCCCTTCTCATAAAACTCATATATATATTAATATACACCTTTATTGAAAGTGGGTAAAAATGATTTAATAAATTAATGTAACAATCAGAAGACAAGCTAATCTAGTTATACTAGTGCAGAGAAAAGAAAATGGCTGCTCTGTGGTTTCCCAAGAAGGAAAATTCCAAAGAGAAGAGGGACAAAGGTTTTTATTTTGGATAGTTGTTGTGTGGCTGTAGTGAAGAGAGGATAGGAGAAGTGATCCTGGCTCCAGTGGGAAAAACCCAGTAATAGTATTACCATCTTGAAAATTGTTGTTTAACAGAGAGACTAGTTGTTTGGAAGTACAAGAGAGAGTAACTCCCAGGGAGCTTAAGTTGAATAGAAGAAAGTGTCACCATTCTGGAAGATGTGTTTGGTAGAACATAGGAAAATGTTAGAAGACAAATGAATTTAGTGCAAAAAAGGAAGAAACAGTGTATATAGAAAAAAGGTTAGCTTGCCAATCCATACTTGACTTTATAATTTCCTAACTTTGTTACCGTTATGTTATATATCCTAACTTTGCTTCCACTACTTTCTACCCCTAATTTTGTTATTTTTTATCCTACCTACTTTTAAGTTTATTCTACCTACTTCATTTCACTTTAAGTTTATCCTACCTACATTTTTTAGACCATACCTTTCACCTACATATTACTTTTTCTTTTTAATGTTAATAGTTTCTCATTCCTATTGTTATCTGTTTTTTTCTTCTTCCTGATGAAGACCTGAATTTTGGGCCGAAAAGGAAAAAATAGAAATAAATATACTTATTTATTTTTACATTTTTTTTATTTTTTTTAACTGATCACCCCAACCAATCTTCTCTTCAATTATTCATTACAGTCAACCATCAATCCACAATTATGAAAGTATACCTGGTATTGTTCCTCATTCAATTTAGTATTGATAATGCTAATTTTAATAAGAACACATAAGATGGGAGGAATAATAATGGTAACACCATTAGGAGTAATATGGTAAATTAGAACACCAGGGAAGAAAAATAAAATGCTATACACATTGATTTACTAATCAACTTGAACCAAGTAACCAGAGTCAGAACCAAATAAATTTTTTAGAGCACACTATACCAAAAAACGGATCGAAACCCGATATCAGGAAGTTGGGAGCATTTCAGAAGATGGTGGTTCCAACAGATATAAAAGGAATCTAAACGTAGGTAGAAATGGAAGTTGCTACACAGAGTCTCTCATAAGGAACGTCACTAGGGCTTGATAAAATATTTCCTGAATTCCTTAAATATTTAGGAACAAAATCTGTTTAATTTACTATGCTAATCCCTTCCAAGGCTGTCAGGGACATTGACATAATAATTCTGCTTTAAGAGCTGGTGATAATTTATTGCTGTGGACTATAAAAAGTTAAAGAAGTTAATGGACTAAAAAAGTGAAGATGTAAAATTGATTGCTTTATTTTATAATTTTAAATTTTATACTGAGGTTAAATACAGGTGGATTGGGATACTTGCATTTTCTCTTTTCTTCTATTTGCCAGTCTTCTTGTTCATCTTCTCTCTCAAGGGGCAATGGCCGCTGTAGTTATTTACTCCATGTTCAGCAAATCAGTGGAATAACAAATTTTCAAACTGGCCAGTCTAGTGAATCTCTCACACTACGTGAGCGTCTACGCTTCAGTAATGGTGGACTCAAAATAACATCTGTGGTATATATGCAGTACGTTTGAGATCACAGCTGTGTAGTTTTTTCTTGATTTGATTTAAATTAAGTTTGATGTGCCCCCTAAATAAAAGCCTAGGATGTCATCCTCTCTTTCCTAAACCTAGTCTGGACATAACATCTACTGAACAAATGGAGAGAGGCAGGGGTAATACCATTATTAAAAAGTGGTAAGAAACCTGACCAACCAGAAAACTTCAGGTCAATAGCACTGACAAGTGGTTTCTGTAAGTTACTAGATAGGATGGCATGGCAATACACACTCTACTGACAGTCGTGGAGCAAAATGGCACACTATTCCCATTATAAGCAGTATTTAGGAAAAACAGGAGCACAGTCTAACAGATTGATCATTTTGTACAAGAAGTGAAACATGGCTATCATAGAAGACAAAGGCTTAGCTGTGTTTGTTGACTTCAAAACAGCTTTTGACAGGGTCTGGAGGAACTCCCGCACTAATATATTAGGTTCTGCATCGTTTGGAAGGTCTTCCGTTATTGCGATGATGCGGGCTTCTTCTTCTGTGTCCTCTTGATGAAGGACTTTTCCAAAGTATTGTCTCCATCTCTCCAGGATTTCCCCCTTTTCCGTCAGGAGATTTCCATCTGTATCCTTGCAGGAGGTGACCCTCGGTTTAAAAACCGACCTCCCTTCATTCACCTTCTGGAAGAATAACCTACTTTCATGGAGAGTTCTGTGGGTCTCAATGTCCTCCATTCTTTTGTTCTTCCATATTATTTTCTTTATGCGGTTGGTCTTATTTTCTTCCCTCCTCCTGTTTCTATACTCCGCTAGTGATTGCCAAGTGTAACGCTTGATCATCTTCTTATATGCCTCGTTCTTCCGGGTTGTGATTTCTAGGCATTCATCGTCGAACCACTGTGTCCTGTCATTCCTTGTTTGAGGTCTGAGCGTCTCCTTCCCTGTATCTTTGAGAGCTTCAGCTATTCCTGCCCATAAGATTAGATCTGTGGTGTGAGCTAATCATAAGGTGGTCTATTTGGTTCATGACTGTCCCATTTTCTGATCTCAAAGTGGCTTTGTGAATCCAGGGTCTAGTCATTGGCAGCACATTGTTTCCGGGCAAGAACATTCACAAAGCCACTTTAAGATCAGAAAATGGGACAGTCACGAACAAAATAGACCACATTATGATTAGCTCATGCTACAGATCTAACCTTATTGGAGTTAGAGTCTACAGGGGCGCAAACGTTTACTTGGATCATTTCTTGATCATCGCCAGGATCCGCCCACGAATATCAATGAAAAGACATGTAGCAGCTGGTCTGACCCAACAGAAATATGACATCTCCAAACTAAAGAACATGGAACAGTGCACAACACAGCGGCAACACTTTGAAGTTAAACTAGTGGAGGAGCTGAGAGAGAGAGAGAGCCGAAACATTAGATGA